AGTTACAACTGTTACATGCCCATTTCTTTGCATTATTTTCTGTGGTAAATGTTATAATTAAATAATTAATTAAAAATCCCATTTATATGTAGATGGAGCTTGTGATTGAAGATGACGAAAAACCTGCCCGAAAGTATCAGAAGACTTCGCAGGCTCATATAATTCTGTAGGTTTGTGAAAAATTTGCTATGAATTAAAGTAGTACCAGACTGTAAGAGATTATAAAATTAATGTTCTTTCATAGTTTCATGGCTTTATGTTGAATTGCCATATTTTCAGCATTTTTAACATAAAGCAAGTTGGCATTGGCCATTAAGGTATGATTTATTACAAAGTAAGTAAAATGGGTGAGTTAAAACAGTTTTCATTCAATTCTATGTGCTGCTATAATAGTACTTTCAATGTTTATTAAGTATGAATCAGATTATTATTTAATAATTATTAATTACTGTGCAATAACAAAACATTCCTTTAAAATGATAATATAAATAATATATTATAAGATTGTCAATTTTCCCCATTTTCTGATGCTGAAATATTACATATCAATATTTATTAAATGAGAAACATCTATTATTTTTAAATTAATGATCATTTTTCTTCATAATATGTAATATATTATGAATTTAAAACTACATAAAAAGTAACTTGACATTTCTGTTTTGTATTCTGATATAAAATTATATTATTTATGAGTTTAACATGAAATGCGTTGACTTGTTGACATGTGAATTAATGTCATATTTTGTTATGTTTTAATGACTGGCATTCATTATTAGTTTTCAATGATGAAAATATATTTAAAGATGTTTGTTTTTCTGATATTAAGTAAGTTTGTCCCACTCTACGCCATGTAGGCGTTTGGGGTGAGAGGAGGTATAGCTCCTCCCTTCCTTGACCTCGGCACTATTACAAGTTGTTATTCTGTTCCTAATGTAGTTGTATTAAAATACAAAGTCAGGATGGTCATGCATTGACAATATTTTTTGCCTCACACAAGTTATGTAAAAAGCAAGGATACACATTTAGTAAATATTGACTTATCCAAAGTGTATGACAGCATTCCTAACTGTAAACTGTGGGAAATTATAGAAGAAAACCCTATATCAATAAACACTGTTAAAGCTGTTAAACACCTCTATGAAAATTATAGTTTGAAAATAAAGATATGTAATTTAATGTCTATGGGAATTTCTGTTACAAAGGATTTGTGGCAAGGCTGTCACCTATACATTTTAACATCTATTTAGATGAAGTACTGGAAAATGGAGATCATGCAATCCCATGGGTATACCAATTACAGAAGAAATATTTCTGTGTACCCTTCACTTTGCCAACAACCAAGTGGTCACTACACAGACAAAGATGATGCAGAATACCTGTGAAAATAGCTAGAGGAGTAGTAGTACCAAACTGAGGCATGACCACGAAAAATATCTCTGCACAGGAAGATAAACAAAAGACATACCTTGACATAGATATCAGGGTAGTCTTGTGAAGAATATTTATACCTTGGGGTTAAGGTTGACAAGCGTGGGAGATGCAAGAGAGAAATTCTAAACAGGACATTTACATCATCATCGGCGTTGTTATACTTGTTTTTATTATGATTATTGTTGTTATGTTAAAAACACATGTACATCGCCATTCTTAAAAGTAGATGTGAAGTGTGACGGGTAGGGAGAAGGGAAGAACAGAGGATCATGGCCACTGACATGGATTATTGACAGAGAGCAACAAGTATCTCTCATTCGGTAGAAGTGCAAAAAGAGCAGATTACATGAGATTGGATGGAAAGTAGGAAGAGGTTCTCTTGGCAATGGGTACAAAGATGGCTGTATTCTGAGTTGTAACACTGTGTAGTCCATTAAGAATATAAAAGTATAGTGTACACATTACAGCTGTATTTGATAGATAAAAAATATGTTTGTCCATATGTAGAATTGTCATAAAAATTGTCTCATCCAAACGAAAACTGATATTGCTTTAACACTTTTCGCAAAATTCTTCATTGGTTTATCAATTTCTGACAGACTGATGACAGTGGGAGCTATTTAAATAGGCACTTGGAAAAAGAGAATCTGGGTGCAAAGTGAGATCCGAAGGCAATAAGAGATATGACTAAGTGGTTATAAAAAAATACAGGTACGATGGCTTTCCTTCATGATTAATTAATTCCTAAATAATGGTAATGTCCAATTAAATACATTTTCCCGCCTACAATTACGTCAACATTAATTTAGATTCCCTGGTAGTGGCCATAGCGTGTCTAAAAGGCAGTAACAGTACCGTTCTCAGACAAAACAATTCGATGCAACCTACTTTCGGATCTGTGCCTTCTACTGGGTAATAAAAGCAGTAGCACAGATAAAGAACGTGACCATCACTGTTACCACTCTATAAGGTTATTAAAAACGGATAGGAATTTGAATTATCAGTCCTACAGAATACAAAGGAACATAACCATTTACCAAGCTTTACTCAACTACATCATGCGGTAGATAGTGAAGGTGAACGAAACAAAGCAAAAGATAAACAAATGAAACGATTACTTCGTATTCAGTTTGAAAAGTGTTGCTTTTCGTCATGCTCATAAGACACTTGATACTATAATTTAATTTTTGCACATATTTATCATGGTACATAACGCGAACATAATTTATCGCAACTAGATGAAAATTTGATGTAAACACGTATTTTCCAGTTATCTATTTTTCAGTATATGCCGATACGTGGAAGTAACTGCAATGGTGTTTTTGTATGTTCCAAATAAATTAGGGTAAGATTTCGAATTGAAGAAAGTTTTAACACTTCCTTTAAATTAAGTACTATCGGATTGTTTCTGAAACAAAGATAAATCACCTGTATTCGTCTCGTGAAAGTATAGTGGAATGTCCTGTGATTTTGTGTTTGCTTTAAGATTACTGTAGCAAAGTCCAGACGTGTGGTATTCAGAACACTTTATTCTGTTCAGAAATAACTGACAGCCCAGTATCACTGTGAAAGTTCGTACGACTGGGCTTCAAGGTATCCGTATACTTTTATTATATTATAGTATGAATGACCATGGATTTAAATGTTACTGTCATGAAAGCAAAGTTTGCTGACAGTGCAGGTATTAAAGAAAAATACATTTGAAAGAAACACAGTTTGTTTTGTTGTATTAATCTGTTTATATTAATGTTAATTGGCATTTCTAGCAGAGGCCCAGGACATTCTATGTGGGATTTGTGGTGGGCAAAGTGGCGCTAGAAAAGGTTTCTCTCCAAGTTCTTTAGTTCTTTGGATTTCCCCTGTCAATTTCATTGTGCCATTGCTCCATATTCATATATGTGTCCCCTGGGAGCTGAACAATGACTTTTCCAGTTCAGTTGATTAATCGATACAGAGGCCTGTGAACATGGTACTTTTACCTTCCTGTATAGATTGTGCACAATGGCATATATTTTTTGATGTATATCATTGGCTTCAAGTGCTATTTGGGATATACCTGTATTAATATTTCAAAATGCATTTTTCGTGCTATAACATCTCATATTGCTACTATCAATATTAACCATAATAATAACTATAACAGAAAATTAATTGGGTGTGAATAGTAGGGGCAGAAGGGAAAAGGAGTGGTGTTTGTAAATCTTTCCAGAAAAAAACATTAACAGTTGCTATAAAATTATGTTCTGCCATGATGAATGTTATTTCCTTTGAAATGTCATAACACACAATTTTTTATTAGTGTTGGAGATTTCCTGTTTTTTGTGGAGGAAAGCTTATTATGTTACTTTTCTGTTCCAGTTTACTACCTCAGAGGAGGGTCTTCATGTATGCACCTGCATTTCATCATTCCCCAAAAATACCCATATTTGTCCAACACAGTAGTTTGCAGCACCGAGCACATGTGTCAACTAATTCCTCAGGTATGTTACTCTGAGATAGTGTTTTTTGCTATTTATTATTTGTGCCAAAATGACCACATTCATTCATGGTGTCATTCTAAATACATACTGTGACTATAAAACCATAAACAGTATGTTAACCCCAGAATAAAACAGGTTTATTTCATGTCTTGTATTTTGTAGTAACTTTGTCAGATGGAGGACTGCCTGCTTTCCTTATTTTATGAGAAAGGATAGGTATATTTTGTGTGTGTATATGCATACCCCGCTACTTTCTGAACCAACTGATGAATTTTCATGAAACTTGTTATGCAATTCTTGCTTTAATAATTACCTCACCTTCATCTTTTTTCCCCCATTTATAATATCGACTCAACGGCCATGTCAGCTTGAGGTGGAAGGAGATACCATTTACTGCAGGGCTCTGATATGTTGTGCAGTGATCGATCTTTGAAAAGTATGAAACTTATGAAGATAATTTTTTGTGAAATGTAAAATAACGGCCTTTTCCTCTTATTCCTTCAGACTACAGTTCATTATTGGGCAGTATATTATGATGGTATTACTGTTAGTTCCTGAGTCTAGGCATACACGATTTTGTGACCAATTTTATGTGAAAATGTTTGCCCCTGCCACTTTTCATTCTGATATAGCATAAGGTGTTTTGACTAACATAAGTACCTTATACTCTACAGTGGGCAGTAACTGGAAAAGTTGGCATGGGTTCAGGAAACATCTTCTGCGATTATGGAGACCACTGCCTACAGGGGTTGGGTTGGTACTACTAGTTTTATTGCGCTGGCGATATATCAGGCAGAAGGATCCCAGTTCTGATAGTAAGACTGCAGATGTAGCAAAAGGTTGGGAGGTAAGTAAATTGACCTTTTTGATTTAATGTTCCTTTATAATAATTCTGTCTGTTGTTTTGTATGGGTGCGAAACATGGTCTCTCACTCTGAGGGAG